GATTTGAAGATTTTAAGACGTTAAATTTTGTTGCATTAAGATTTAAGCATGTTGACCGTTAAGATTTGAAGATGCTAAGCCATTAAGACTTGACGAGTGTTTGCCTTTCAGATATTAAGATGTTAAGCCGTAAAACTTTAATCTGGTTGAGGTACTAAGTTGTTCAGACGCAAAAAAAAGTCTTTAGCCAGTAGGATTCTCAGAACTGATTTGAAATCATTCAGGCTTTAAGGAGTTCAACCATTAATATTTAAGCGTTTAAGCCGCTCGGATTTCAGTGAACAAAAATGAAATTTGATGTGTTTTAATCCACTAAGAGTTTAAGAGTTTTCAGGTTTTAGATGTTAAGAGTTTAAAGCCATTCAGATTTTGGCACGTTAAGCCGCTCAGAGACTAAGACTTTAAGCCATTGAGACTTTTCAGATGTTCATCCATGAAAACTTTAATGTGTTCAAACATTCATGTGTTGAGATGTTCAGCCAGTAAGACTTTAAGCCATACAGACTTTGGGGCTCAACGGGCTCAAGGGGCTCAAGGGGCTCAAGGCGCTCAAGGGGCTAAAGGGGTTGAAGTGCCTTAAGGGCCTCGTGCCGGTGACACGTCCGCGGACTGAGCCGGAGGCTCTGAAGTAGAAACGTCTCATAGGTTCGCCATGGCCTTGTTTTGGGTGTTGCCTGTGGCAAAACTATGCAAGAGCTTCTCGCTTGCGAGACTCTCTGAGGTGCCAAAATGTGCAAAAAGGTGCTACAAGGTGCCAACTGGCGTCAAAAGCCAAAACAAACTGGGGTGTCCTCAAATGCATATATATATATATATATAATGGACAGAAACAGCAACATGATGTTTCTCCAGGAAAAAGGCGGAAACATGGGTCATCTCTCGCTGGGATTTGGCAAAATCCGCCTGCCGGTGGCCACCTCCAGCAGGATTGACGCACCGTCCACCACCTCGATAGCCCGATGCGCGCCATGGCTCTTCCCTCCTTCCCCTTTTCTTTGGGCTCCAACTCTTGTTTGCCCTGGTTAAAGCTTCTCCTTCTCGGCCTTCTGGTCGGGTGATGCTCAAAAGGGAAGTATGCGGAGCCCTACTTTTTGACCCACATGCTGCCAACTTTCTGCAGACTTAGGCCAATATTGCATGCAATATTGGGTGTTGTGTGGCTCACTTTCTGTGGGACTTTAAACTGTTTGGTCGCTTTGTCTAGGAACTCGGGAAGTGACACAAGCCAAAAGGAGTGCTTGCTCGTTTGTCTAGCCCCGAAATGCACTCACAAAGGTAGCACCAAAAAAACAAAAAGGCTTAACCAGCAGTTTAAATCCGAACCCGTGTAATTACCGAGACCCTTTGCGAGGTCCTGTAAAATCCTCAGTCCCAACGGGAAAAGAAGTACAAAGGGGCCCAGTCCCTAAAGAAAGGATTGAGAATTTCTCTTGAACAGAAGGGTATTTAATTACTTCCCTTGTGTTTGACTCACCCTAAAGGAGAAAATATGGGCCGGGCAGCATCACTTGTTTCCGGAGGCCCCAAAGAACGTGCTGGTTTTGTGGCACCTTTGGGTGGGGCCCCGTCCTCCCCATTCCAACCAGAGGCCTGCAAATACGACTATGATTGGCAACAAACCTCCCCCAACCCCCCCCGCAAAGAGGGTCCACGACCATCCCCAACACTAAGTAAAGGGACCCTTTTGACGTCACTTCCCCGATCGGCTGTCGCCAAGGTGCAGCCTGACTCTCCAAGCTCTCCTCTGCCTCGCGGAAATCTGCGTAATCCAGTCTTTGTGGGTCACCCGACATCTGTGATACCAATTCGGGTCATGCCGCAATGCCCATGAGTACGATTTCATGAGTACTTCCTTCCAAGAGGGCTTCCAAAGGGTGCGGCCTAGCTTTTCCAATTCCCCACTTCTCCAAAGAATATAAACAATTTGGCCTAGGGCCTCTGTTCCCGAGTGGATGGGTTGGGCATTGAGGGCCAGCCTTCTATGGAATGGACCCACCCAAGTTGCCCCAAAGACCAACAAAACAAGCCAGGGCCGACAAAACAATATTCTACCCTTCAGGGTTGGTGTTTGCTTGGAAACAGCTCGGAGCAATCGACCAACCCCGGCATGTTGCTCCGAAGACTCTTAAGTTGTCAACCGTTTTCGGGTTGTCCTTGGAACAACTGCGTTTGACACTACCTCCTTTTCAATGAAAAAGGATACCCTTGACATGCTCTCCACCAAATTTGGCTGCTTCTAAATTACCGAGTACCCCTTTTGGTAAAGCTATTATTTTGTTGGTTCAAACAAATGGAAAAGAATACCGAAAAGGCAAACAGCTAAAACAAGCTGAGTCTGAAAATGACGGGGGGGGCCCAAATGCGCTATCGTGCTTCATCCCTTTCGTGGTCACAGGTGGAAACAGATGCTCCAAAGCTAACAGGTAAGGCGATCCCAAGGTTCGTTCCGGGACACCCCTGTTGACAATCTATTGAGAACAGCAAAGTTTGCCTTGATCCATATGTGTCCCAGTGACAAAACTGGCCCATCCTTTTACCACCGTCAAAGTCACTCCCGAAGTCGCAGGTTGAAGGGTAACCACCCCAGTTGCCGACTCACTAACTATCAGAAATGGTCAACCTAACAACCCCGTTAAAACAGAACCCACGTTTCTTCTTGGGGAAAACAGGGGCAAAACCAATCCCTCAGATCCCCGACTCGCATCCACAAATCGCCTGCAGCAGCTCCCATCCCTCCAGGGAATCGATCCGTGTCTGGTCCACCTCCACCGAGGGCCGGTGCCACAGCTGCCTCGGACGGCGTCTTTCCCACGTCATGGGATGCCGCGAGCTCCTTTTCGAGGGGGCACTTGTGCCTAAACAATGAGCTCAGAAGCCGTTTTGATAAATTAGACATTGCCTTGTGTGGAGGAAATAACACATTTTTTAATTTCGGAACGTAGCCTCCGCGTTCCGTTCACTGCAATTCAGGAAATGGGCCAACATCATGGGCAGTGGGTGTTTGTGAAGAGAATCATTGGTGAAAAGAATGCCGGAACCCGAGACGGTCTAGAACCAAGAGACTTTGAAAGTGATAATTTGGGGCACTTCACCGACTTCACCATTGCCCTAAAAAAATGAAACCAACTGGTGAAACCGAAAGTGGCCAAAACCAGACACCAGGTCAGTTCTGGTCAATTTGTTGCAAGTGAGCTTTGGCACTTTCTTCTTCCCAAATTTGCCCCAAAGCTTTCCTCCAAGTCTTTCCGTTGAATACAAACCAAGCTACAAGTAGGTGTCCACGTCTGATGTTGGTTGATCTCCCACGTTGCCATGTGTTTCACACCTGGATTTAGCTCAGCTTCTCACGCAGCGAATCGATGCGACGGTGTTCAAAATGATTACCCTGGAAGCCCAACAGCGACGGTGCTTTATAGAAAGACAGCTTGTTCTAGGATAGGGCGACGTTGGTTTTGTTGAAAACTTGTTAAAAACAGCATTGCCAAATCAGGTAGCGGGGCGGACCTGGCAATCTCCCGATGCAAAAACTTTGGTTCGGCTTGGCCACTCATTGTTTGCTTGCTGACATTCAATAAATCATAAATCATACTTGACCTTGGACCAAATCCAGCATCACAAGAAACGGCCACCTGTTCAACCTTCAATTTGTCTGTGAGCCAAACGCAAAGCAGCTATGAGGTGCAAAAGTGAAGAACTTCGCCCTGCTGCGGATTCTCAATTTGCAAGCGTATGTGTGCCAGCGGTCAAAACTCTCCGAGGACAATGCCGAAAAATGCACAGAACCAACATTCAAGTTCTCAACCAGGAACTGCGCAGTTTGCGTGTTTATCGCTTACAATTTCTGTGTTGGCGTCAAAAAACAAAAACAGTCTTTCACGACCAAAGAATACGTGGACCTGTCAAAACTAGAGACTCTTGAGGGGACTGTTGGAACCGGAAGACAGGTACAATAGCCTTTGGGCCCCTGGTTTTGAAGCCGCACCCTGACCGCGCTGAAATGATAAACTCTCTTCAGAAAGGAACTTGGAGGGAAAACAAAATTTCGTTTTGGGGTCAAATGGACCACCTTTCCTGAAAAGGTGGAATCGGTCACGCCCCAAACCAGCCCGGACGTCGAACTTTCGGGCGAGCAGCGCTTCCTCCTGACCCAACAGCACATTGTCACCTCAGACACAGGGGTGCTCCCTTCAGATGGGGTCGAAAATGGACTTCCACAAAGAAACCAAATCTGCAGAAACCAATGGGGTTTTGCCAAGGACCCACAAATCAACAGATTGTGCAGCATTGCGCCTCCAAAACTCGATTTTAAGGCACACCCCCTACACGAGACAAACGGACAATGTGACTTATCAATAGGCATAATTCATGTGGTGATTGATGATAGGGTCACCACGAAGAACTTCTGCGCTTGATCTTGCAATGCTTTGGATGATTCGCACCTGACACATGAGGTTGGTTGGACTGACCTGCGAAAGTTTACATGCCCTCCCTCCAACATTGCCATGGCACCTGACAGGGAAATGGTTCCTTGGGGAGGAAATATACTTCCAGGAAACAAGGACCCCCAAGTAAGGAGCCTTCATCATGGGTAAGTGCGCTGTGTCCTCCATGTGAGCTTGTTGTAGTTTGCGGGAGTAGATGCAGGCTTTGGTTGGCCAACGGGGGGATCAATTGGCATTAACCGCCAAGCACTTCAAGGTGTTCCGTCCAAAGAGCCGCCACGATTCGCCTGGGATCTGCGCTCCCGACCTTCTTCAGGGTTACATGTTTAGCCTGACCCTCGGCCAAAGAGAAGTCCATTTTGGAATGGCAACCAAATGTCGATGGTTGAATCAATCATGGAGGGCCCTGAGGCGTCATCGCCCTGGCAACGACCAAAAGGGGAATCAGGCCTGTCATTTTTTCCGTGCCTTGACTCGCAAAGCGCCTGCCGTACTGAGGGTCCGACGCAAGCTGTTGATGACCTGCGCTGAGAGAAGGAAGGCACTGATCAAATGTCA